GATAATTTAATTATAGCTAGCCTGTTTGAAGAAAATAAACACAATATGATAGCTGTTTTACACCTGGATAGTGGACTTAATCACCTCGTTACGTAATTATTATACTAAACGCACAGTACTTGTGCGTACATGAAGCATATTGCGTTGATACGTAAATGTTTCACGTGCGCACGTAATACTGTCGCATTCGCATGTATTTACTAAATATTTCCTATGTTATTTTATGCAATTGTCACATATGATACGTATATTTTATCATCTGAATTGGATTTCATACTATCAGAATAATGCTATAAGAAAGGGAAAATATTTTGATTTATTTTTGTTTGTGAGAATTATCACTTTACTTTTAGTGATGGCACACTGCAAGAGATTCTATTGTCAACTTACCTAGTTAAACAGTCTTAACAATAAAAAATATTAATCTACACTATTGTATATTGAAGGTTTTCATTCGTTGCTGTGAAGTTGTGATGAGATAGTTTTTGAAACAATTGAAACTGAAACAAACAATACTCCAAATATGTAAAGATTTACGTTTTTAAATAAATGAGAAGTATAGCTGGGTATTATGCCTTTTACTTAACTGGATTTCATTGTGCGGACACGGATCAACATCTAAGTAGCAAATATCTGTACATTATAAACTTTTTTTTTCAAACGAATTGACTCCTACTAACGATGCTTATATACATCGTAAAATAATCAAAAAGATTATGTCAGCACTTTTTCCCAATACAATGTTATTTTGTTTAAATATATTTTAATCAATAAAATACTCTTTACATAGAACAAAGATACCATTATAGTTTATATTACAAGTGTGAAATATATATATTCGTAAAAGTTTCATAACAAAAGCATATAACTTATCATCCGTCATAGATCAATCATTCCATTTAAATCCTTTGTAAATGGTTGCTTATAAATGACATCTTTATCCTAATAATATAAAATAATTTTGAAATTTTCGTAAGAAAAAAAATTGTATATATGTTTACGCTTAAAAAATGCATGTGTAAAGTCTTTTTGAAAGTTGTGATAACTATTTCATGACATTATTTAAACAAGATTTTAAACTCTCTTTTTTCAGATACACACATGCAGAAGAAGATTGTAATATCTGGAGAAAACATTTCCTACGTCACGAAATAGACACCCTCAGACAGGTCTACGTATCATTCCTATAGATGATTGATATATTAAAGTGCTTTTAAGAACAGTGTTTGAATAACAATTTTCTGTGAATACGGATTTTTTATTTTAATGATTATTATTAAAACTTTCAGTAATTATCAATTTGTGCTATGGACTCATTTTCCTTAAATAATATGTGAATGTTAACACGAACAAATGTTATGAATATCTTTAAAATGTTGTATGGGTGTAATATAAGTTCCTCATATGAATTTTTGTTAAGATAAAAATCGAAAAGAACTTCAAGTTAGCATAGTTTGTTCTAGATTTAAACAACATGCAATTCATTAAAGTTACGGCTTGAAAATATCTAAAAATGTACATAAATAATTCAATCGCTGAAGAAAATATCGCGGTGCGGATGTTCTGCACTGTGATACGTATTTCATGACTCTGTATCGCAACATACCGGTATATCGCATTTCTGTTGCAACGCTCCATTAATGTGTCCCTCTGGAATAAGGCTTACAACAATATATAACTATTGTAGCGAAGACATGTTTATTTTGTTATATATATATGTATGCATATTGAATATATGTTTATGAAATAATAAATATTTAAGAGTGACTCTATTTGGTTTTTACTTTATTATTTGAAATACTCCAATTTTGAAGATAAAGTTCTGAAGCATATGAGTACAATTCCCATTCACAATGTGTAATAAAACATGTTTTATTGTACAAGCCTGTATTTCGGTCATGTATACTTGTCTCTATATGTAAATGCATGCTTTTGATAGTAACTGTACCTTCTTTGATCTCGAAAATACAGTTCTGTATACCCGGTGCACAACTAAAAAATGCAATTCCGTATATCCCCTGTATATATTGAAAATACGATTCTGTATATCTCCTGTACATGTAGAAAATACGATTCCGTATATCTTCTGTATATGTAGAAAATACGATTCAGTATATCATCTGTATGTGTGAAAAATAAGATTCCGTATATCATCTGTATATGTGGAAAATACGAGTCCGTATATCATCTGTATATGTAGAATATACGGTTCCGTATATCCTTTGTATACGTAGAAAATACGATTCCCGTATATCCTTGGTATATTTATAGTAAACTAGGGATAACAACCTTGATAAAGTCCGTATACGGGATTTTATTCTCCGTATACTTCAAACATACGAACAAATATACGTATATGTATATGGTGCGAATACGGAATTCAGTATATGCCTGATGCATATAGGGACTTCCCGTTTACCCGGTGTTTCCTACACGGACTCATATACTTGGTCCGTATATTCGACAAATACATCCCGTACACGCCCAAATATGTAAAAAATATGGGACCGTATATTCCCGTATATCAGTATATTTTTCGCAGTGCCATTTAATGGATGCCGGACAATAACTATATTCATAAATTGGATTTTATAATCTCACTTGTTCATGATTCAGCTCAAATAAAGGCCTGAGTTGGTTTTGCATTTGGATCATCTGCGGTGAAGGTCAAGATCGCCGTTTCTGAAACAAAAGAAAAATTGTTTCCGGGCTATAACTAGATTTAGGCATGAAATACTGTAATCAACTTGGCATTTAGCAAGGTTAAATGAAGACTTAGGTTTGTAATGCATTTGAATCTTTCTGGGGTTAAGGTCAAGATGACTGTAACTGAAATTAGGGAAATAGTTTCTGGACAGTTACTTGTATAAGGAATGTGATATTATAATCATACTTTGTATGTAGCAAGCCTAAATAAAGGCCTGGCTAGGTTTTGCATTCAGAACCCCTTAGGTCAAGATCTCCTTTCCTTGAAAAATAAACATGGCTTTCAGACAAGAGTTATAATTTTTGATGAGATATTGCAATTTAACTCGGTGCACAGGACCTATATGAAGACCCGAAGTTTTCTTCTTTTTTTTTGGACCCCTTTGGATGTAGGTCACTGTAATCAAAAATAGAAAATATTTTTCCTGTATGTAACTACAGTTTTAAGGATGAGAAATTGCAACAAACTTGGTATTAGGCATTGTTATATGAAGAACCCCGGTTGATTTGCTTTTGTACCCAAAGGTATCAAATGTCACCGTTACTTTAAATAGAAAAAAAAACATGTTTTTCGAAGGATAACATTAATTAAGAATTATTTTTACACAGTTGATACTTTATGAATTCAAGGGAGATGAAATTAAAACAATTATGCATTTTAACAATTTGGGAAAGATGATTGTTTAGTTAAAGAAATATATTTGCAAATGTAATATTTTACATTATAATTTAAACAATTCTTTAAAATTTTAAAAAAAAATTTTTGTGATGCTTATTTTTTTTAAAAAGTATTTAAGTTTTAAAATAAAAAAAAAAAAATTATTAAAAAAGTTTTGTATTAAAAAAAGGTGCCCCCTGAACTTCTTTTTCAAATAGTGGCACATTTTGTGTTACTTTTATCTCCCGTGAAATCAATTATGTTTTTACTTTTATATGCTTTATGAATTCAATGTGTGTATAAATAAGGATCGTTTATGAGCAGTGCATTATATGTGGCATAGGGTATCTTTTACAAACAATAACATTTATTCTGAGAATGGCTATTGATGATGTTTGATTATCTTTTTTTCTCCAACAACTATTTATAAGATGTAATAAAAACTCGGTATGCGCATTGCGTACTTATTCTTAGACTAATAATATATTATTCCTATCACAGCTGAATTGATGAAAATAAGAAACATGAAAAAATAGTTATATGAATTAAATACCATTTTGTTATATGTTTGTTTCAGGAAAAAACGTATTGCCAACTAAAATTCCGTGAAGCTGCTGTTGTTGACAATTTTAATGATAACTTTGCATATCCGTTTTGTAACTGTACAGTAGAAAAATCCAGGTAAGAATTCAAATGAATTTACCCAAAATTTTGTTTGATCATTATTAGATCAAAGATACATGGGCATTAAGTGTTAATCTGTGCGCATATTATAAATATGTTTTCATATCTTTAGTTGATAGAATCTGCATTTTTGGTAAAAAAAGAAATACATTGTTTTTTAATTTGACATAATATAGCACCTTGATATTGAATGTAAAAGATACACAAAGCTTAAACTTGACTGTAATTGTAAATTTTGTATTAAAGTCTAGGATCTTCATATTTAATGAGTGTAATTTGATTAAAATCTTTATCTATATAAACACTATTTCTTGGGATCTGCATTCCCAATTACTCTTCAAATTGATCTGGTCCGTCCTTTAAAAGACTGACAGTATACATTCATGTAATGTGAACCTAAAGTGTTTCGATTCTCAAATTTAACTGACGTGTGAAAATGGTATGTTTACCAATTCCCAGATATTTCAAATACATAAATTGATTATAATATATCTTTATTGTTTCTAATATTTTTGAAATGCAACAAATGTTTAACTTACATTGAGTTCGATAATTCATTTAAAAATCCTAGTAACAAATATTACTGTACTTAAATGTGGTATTCTATTTTTAATTAACGTATGATATTTTGTGACCACAAAATTCACGACAAAACGATAATAGAGTAAATAAGCATTACAATTGAAAAGCATGAGTCAAAATTCATTATTCAAATACCAAAGAGTGAATAAACAAGATAATCCAAAAACTATTCAATCAATATTGAATGAAGAAAAATGTCGTATCTCCCACACTGATACGTCGAATGCAAATTATAAAGTTTACATGAAGAGCATAGACTCAATTTAAAGATTTCTTGGCCAACAGACAAACACAACATAAAACGTATGATTTAAGTAAGAATGATATTGTATCAATCAAAATTCCATTTATAGATTTGTTAAGGGAACAATCTGCAATGGAACTGAAATTGACTGGAAAATTAACCCATATATAGCACAATAGGAGAATGACAATGTGTTCTACGAGACAATACACGTGCGTTATTTTGAGACAAGACCCTTAATGATGACCACAATGTCTCCTTATTGCACCTACGGTATGGACGCTAATAATAGTAGCATGTTTTAAAGACTTATAAATCTGATTCAATTAAAGACATTCTATAACTTAATATATTTCGTGCCAGAAAAAAGTTTAAACATTATTACAAACCTGCAAAATGGTATCATAAATTACCAGAATTCATGAGATTACTATATCGTATTTTGTTAAATTGTTAGCATACAAACTATCGTATTATATTTTCCATAATATGCAAATACAATTCCTTAAACAACTGTGCAAAATTGTTTCTGTTTATGTTGTTTTAAAGTAACTTGTTAAATATGCTTATTAGTTGTTAAGAATGATTTTTTTAAAGAATACAATGTGACTGAATATGTAGAGTTGTTTCATTGTAAAAGAGACGATAAAGCTATACCAAAGTCGATGATGTGTATATATGCCGTAGATTCCACCGGTTACATGACTGGATGCAGATCTGGTGATCATTTAGAACAATGCGGTAAAGAATATAATTATCTAAGTTATTACTTTATTTTGTGTAACTTGACATGTAACATATTAATGTTTTACAGCAAATGTATCGATAACTTCTAACTATTTGACATGTAATATTATCAATTTAAATACATTCCTATCATTAGACAAGAAATTTATCAAGCTATGTTTTTATTTTTTTTATTGTATTCAGATTTTACCAGAATGATGATAAAACTATATCATAAGTGATGGATATTTAAAAAAAACAAAACAACAACAAAAAACAAACAAACAAACAAACTTATTTTTGTGAGTCATAAGTGCATGAGTATGCGAAGCACATACTACATACTTGCATGCACATGTTGAAATGATAATAGATAAAAATTGCAGGATTTATTGTGCATACACCAGCTTAACATTTCCACTTGACATTTTCTTGCTGTGTTGTAAAACTTTTATTTTTTATTTTTTTGTCATATGGAAAGATAATTTTCTTATATCCATATGCAATTAATGAACTGTGCAACTGTCTGAATTCATGTAATGAGGGTAGTTAACAGAGAACTGGGCTAAAATTTAAGTCTGCATATAAAACCTTGTTGTCATTTAAAGGGGCACTTTTCTGCATGTGACAATATTCATCGATGTAAGAGCTATGCATAGTCATAAAAAACATCCTTATATTTCTATCTATCCATCCATTACTTTAAGAAATTTAGAAACAAGTTCGCTTTGAAGTATTCTGTTATAAAAATATGTAATTTTTGTGATTATTGGGATAGTGCGACCTCACCGGAAATAATTTGTGTGTATAAATGCATAAACTTCTTTTAGTTTTATGTATCACTGTAAGTATTAAAATAGTAATATAGCATACAATTTGGCCTATTTCTCCTCCATAAATCTTAACTTCGCAAGATAACACGACCCGCTTAGAAAAGTCAACATGAATATTTTTGTGTTCTATAATCGTTCTTCGTTTTTCCACTTGAAAAAAGGGAAAGCAATAACGTTTTTGCTTATAATTTTGCTGTAAATTTCTCAACTGCGCAGATCTATACAGGTGTTGTTATTTCGGCCCTTCTCTCTCTACCTAACTTGTAAATCCTGAACCTAAGTATATAAGCCCTTCACATTAAGAAATAGGAAGGATAGTAAGCGAATGAATAGTTTGACAGCCAGTACATTTTCATACAGTCTTTCAGTATGGTAATTGATGTACTAGTTTACAGAAACATGCCACCAGAAGATCATGGAAGTTTACTCATATTTCAAAATCACTGTTAAAAAAACAGTTGAAGGAAATCGAAATATTTCTTAAGGTAGACCACTTCTAATGCATAATTTCCACTTTCAAAAGTATTCAAATAGGCTATAATCACTGTCAACTGCATTGAAATTGAGGTTTTCAAGCCCCAGAAAGGGTACTTATTTTCTTTCTTCCTTTTTTCTTTTTAACATTATGTATCTTGTAGATTCCTTAAGGAAAGAAAAAGTAAAAAAAGTGTTTTATTTTATTATATAATTATTGTAGGTATGTATTTGCTAAATAATGTCAAATATACAATGTTATAGCAAATGAGATACCAGATATTTTCAAAGTTTAATAAAAAAAAAACACGGTAAAAATATCTTTTATTTAACATTATCAACCAATAAACGTTTAAAAAGATCAAGGCAAATTTTAGAATTAGCCCCTCATTGTGGTAAATTTTAAAGATATTTTGAATAAGGCTTTTTATCTAGGGAAATGGTCAAATAAAATGCTTAAAGTTAATAGGATGGATAATATTTTCATACAATGATGCAATAATTTTGCTCATGTAATTTTTATCTGAATGGTATTAATTTATTTCTTAACAATAAGCAATAGGAAAACATATTTGTTAATATTTATATAATAGATTATTTAGAGTGTCCTCATTTCTGAAAAAGAGTCTTTGCAAAGCTTTAGTTCATCAATAACTCATTAACCACAGGGAAATTTTTGTTTAAATTTTGCATGCATAAGGCATATAACTTTAAAGCATATAACTGTCCTATTTTGTCAACTTTATGATTATTTAAAGGTGGTTTTCGTTAAAAGCATGCACATTTTAATATTTTTGCTTTGAAAACATATATATTTTAGAAAAACATACTACCAAATCCTTCGTTTAGGCTATTAATAGTATTACGTAACGGTATGATAAAACATTCACATCCGGGATCGTATCTAACATATTTGGAAACAAAAAATACTGCTTGGTTTTAACATAAGTCGATATTTGGGGCAATGATATAATTATTTATATGATCTTAATATAGCTGCAATCTCATTGGTCCAAACAGAAGTCAACAGAACTTTAAATTAAATCATATTCACTGGGTGTAGTATCATATATATTTCTTATAAAGTGTTTGTCTATGTATTAATGTTTTAAACAAGTTACTTAAGATGACCTACGTGAAAAATCCAAGGTATTAAAACTAAAATACAGCTTAAAACGCTTTCAAAAATTTATAAGAAAAAAAAATCTTTGATATGTATAAAATCTTAAACATCATTAAAGTCCTACAAAATATCAAACGACATTAAGCAGTGTACATGACTTGAATTATCTAAACAAAACAACGAATATTTGTTTTACAATTCCAATCAAAGTAATTGCAGTATTTATATCGGCAGCTATGTAAGTAACGCAGTTGCTTGAGCAAAGAGGAACGCAGTTTATTGAAGATTTTGGTAAACTTTCCTTCTTGAATTACATGAATTAAGAAGTCAGTAACGATGTAATTTCTCGTTAATATAACTGATACGGTATTAAGATATAATTGTTTAATATTTTTCATTCTAACATCTGTGAGCGTGCTGGGTTAAAGAAAATTTGCTTTTAAAAAATGAATGAAAAATGACGCTAAACAGATAAGACAATTGGCGTATAGAAAATCAAAGTCAATTTAACGAGTTGTATAATCTCTATTGAAAGAAAACATATTGATCGGTTTTAACGGTTTTACGGTTTAGCTATAAATGCTTACTAGAAACAAATCTATGTTTTTTATTTTGCTTTTTGAATTTAATATTCCATATAATAATGTTTATAATAAACACCTTAATGTTTCAATAATTTATCAACATTTTGTTGATGATGACAGGTTCTTCCTTGCTGAAAAAACAACGCTTGTAAATGGATAAAATAGAGAAAAATATGAATCCCTAAAGAAAGCCCAAAACGGCAAAATTGAAAATGTTGCAGGCTCGGTTTGATTCAGCCTGGTCATGGACGGTACTGTCAATTGCAAATTACCTTCCACGCCCCCTATCACCGACTTAAGTAGAATTCAACATTTAACATGAACTTGTAAAATTTAGAATTTTAAAACATCCGCAGATGTGCACATATGGCGGTTATTCATTCAACTTAATATTCATTAAGATGTAATCTCTTTTGCCGTAATCTAATAAAGAAAATTGAACAACGATTCTGTTTTGATTCAAACCAAGAATATAATTTGATTATTCATTTGAAATACAGTTAACTACATGTATATAATACTGTAAAACATAAGAGGCTAGGGCTACTCAAACGATAAACATACATGCTTGTATGATGCCACATGTCTTTGGCTCGAATTGTTTATTATTTTATTCTACTTCAACACAGTAAAACAGAGTGGCATCACAAATACTTCTCAGTCATTCATCACTGAAGAAAATGATAATAATTTTAATAATTCACATTGAATTGCTAAATATTGTCCGAGTCATTGAAAAAGCATTTGATTTTGAGAAAATTTCACTTGTCCAGCAAATACAGTCAAATGTCCAGGAAGTTATTGTATTGAACCACGATTTATTTGTGACGGACATATTGAATGTCCTGGAGGAGAAGATGAACAAGACTGTAGTAAGTTATTATGATTTGTTTAACTCATTTGTTTTATTTTTATTCGTTTAATAAATGTCAATTTAACAGTATTCCGGTCGTGGATTGTTATGTTAATAAACGGACAATTAGATTATATATAGATTATTTAATATAATATTTATACATTTTATCGGTAAGAATGTCGCTTACAATAACCGCCCGGACTTAATCTACGGATAACTATCTTGAAAACAAAAGAATCAGCTAAGTAAATGTTGCACTAAACATGTAATTAACCAATTTCATACATACATACATACAGTGTATGAGCTTATTGGCGTATCTACAAATTATCCAATCGCCATACCTACAGATTATCTCATTTATAAATATACAGATTATTCCATTATCATATATACATAGTAATCCATTGTCATACATATAGATTATACCATTGCCATATCTACAGATTATTCCATTGTCATTTCTACAGATTATTCCATTGCCATATCTACAGATTATCCCATTGTCAAATATACAGATTATTCCATTGTCATACCTACAGATTATTCGTAGCGGAACATTTAGCAACACCTTTTCCATTCATTGCTATTTCAACTGCTCACAAACAGTATAACAAACATAAGCACGCGTTCTTTTGTGCAAACCAGGTCAACCAGTGACTATGTTTTACATCACTGTAGCAATTGGATAACAAGTTAGCCAATTAATATAAAACTGTAAACACCGGAAAGGTCAATTGTCGTACATGTATTAATGTTGCTTATTATGGACTTATTTATTATACAGGTATTACTCTTTTATACATTTTCTTTTCAAAAATGATTTTGATAATTTTAGATAAAACACTTGTCGCAAAAGAATTGTAAATGTATCAGACGAATGACAATTTGGTTTATTAAGTTTATTAAAGGAAAACGCACTGTTGGTTGGATTTTTTTATAAAAGTAGTATAAGTAAGATATTGTTTTTTTATGAAAAGATAAATGTTAAAAGGGAAAAAGTTAATTTCGATTTTAAAAAGGCGTTCGAAACCGTATATAGAAATAGTATATGACTTATGGTGTATCATCAAAAAATATTTTCTTAGGATCTTGTATGCGCAAGTAAAATCATGTGTCAAAGAAAATCAAACTATTTCACATTATTTGGTATAAAGCAGGGAGAGCCATTAAAATCTCTAATATTTCTGGGTTTTTGTTTTTATTGTTTTTGTTTTTGTTTTTTGTTTGTTTTTGTTTATGTTTATGCTATGCGTAATCAACTAAGGACAGACAATTTAGATACATTTACTGCCGACAGATCACTTATATTCCTATTGTTTTTTGGAATTTGTTTACATCATTTGATAAACAAACTAAAACTCCACTGTGGTGTATTATGGTTAATACAAAAACAATAGTAACAAAAGAAGGTTAAAGGAATGAAAATTTTATTCTACAATACTGAGAGAATGAATACTGTAACCCAATTTATATTCGCGAATACAAATGTTCGCGTTTTGCCGAGGTCGGACATATTCGCGAATATTAATTTCCGCTTTTTCTTGATTTCCGAAAAAAAAAATTCGCGGATTGGAAAGTCCGATGTGGCCGTAAAATTCATTAGTCGACTATAAATCTTCAATAATTGAGGTCATTATTGGTGTCTTAAATGGAATTAATAATACGCTAGCCTTTTATTGTATTGGTAAGTGAATTGTGATTACGGAACGTGATTGACAATAGGCCTACTAGTATTTCATAAACTGTATTCAAATGTGGATGTTTATTTTGATTGCTATATTGACAAAGAGTTCTTTATAAATAATAGTAGATTACTTAGTTTGTGTTTTTGTTTGTTTTTTTGTTTTTGTTTTTTTTGCTTTATGGCAATATTCATAACAATTCATTACTTCCTAACAGGTGCCCGTAAAATTCGAATATATCCGGTCAAGTAGCTTTGAATGAACAACGTCTAAAATAAATATTTCTCTCCAATTTATTCGCGAAATCGTGCCCACTTATTCGCGCAAACAAATATTCGCGCTTCGTGGCCATCCGCGAATAAAGCGAATATTAATTGGTCGCGAATATTCGTTGGGTTACAGTATATTTACAAATGTTAGGGTTTCTTTGTCTTCCAATAGAACGTTTTATCTAACACAGCAGTGATTTTTCATTTTATTCAATTGTATGTAAAAGGACCCTTCCCAATCGAAATTTTCTTTTAAATATATAGTTTTCCTAAAGATCTTAACTTACATCAGCTTAATGACTTCTAAATATTGTATTTAAATATTTTTTTCCCAAACTGAAGACGCTTAGGCTCATTCTCAATTAAGTGAATAATACCACAGCACAGAAAATGACATCAAAACAGTTAGACCACTATATTCACTAAATGCTCTGTTTGATAAAGTACCAATGGATATCTCTGAAAGGATCTAATTGTTTGATGCTATGGTATTACCAATCTAAAATTTCACAAATCTCCGTTTTATACACACATAATAAGTTTTGAAAGCAAACATTACATATTCGACATCACATTGTAAATCCGATTGCTTATTGTGAGCTAAGAGTATTTTCTTTGTATGTCTATAGGAAAAAAAATAAAAAAAATATTGAAGATTAATCTTAATTTCATTGTTTTAATTTGATGTTCTTTGTGTGTTTTTTTGTGTCTGTTTTTTTATTTGTTATGTTTATGGTATAACTATAAAAAGATGGTCTTTGGAAGTTAAAGAAATACTATGATCTTGGCAAGCAGATGATCCGTATTGATTTTGGGTTACGGGGGTTTTTAAA